GAAAACACCGATCGGGTCTGTGCTAGCGTATGGAGCATTCTCGGGCCTATTCGGCGGTCTTCCAACCAGCTCACGATGGACACTTTCAGGCTGCTGTACGCTTCCCATTTCAGACTAAGACTTGAGTACGGTGGTGCGGCGACATACCCCTGCACAGCCGGTGAACTGGCTAGNCCGACTCTCGCGTAGGTTAGCAACACTCTGGAATTCCTTTCCAGCGATTGTGGTGGAAGAGAAGACAGACGCTGCTTTCAAGCGGCGTCTGGATGAGCACCTGAAGGGGCTATGGAGGAACGAACACTTGTGATCGGACCTTCGACCCAGTGGTGATGGGGCTTACACGGGCACCCTGCCCTCTGCCCTCAATCCTGAAGACTGAAGACTGCTTATTATGAAATATATTACATATTTGGGAGAGAGGCGTGTTTATGAAATACCGTATAACTATCTGATTACTAGTTTTGAGGCTGATGTTTTTAAGGTGAGAAATATATTATTATTCGATGACAACGTTCAACTAAGATCGACTTTCTAATCATCGTTATATGCATTCGTTTGACCGAAATCACCGGGAATCAGAGGTAGTACCGAAAAGAATGAGCTTATAGCTGTTCTATTCACACATTTTCAGATGGATACAGCCGTTATATAACACCAGGGTTACGATTGAAGAATTATTTCATATCAGCTGCGAATTAGCTCTGATCAGTCAGTAGTCAGTCTAATTTGTAACAATTTCTACAGTTTATGGTATCAAGCTTTCTACAGTTCATTCACTATCCCGTTTTAAATAAAACTCATTCTCTTTCAAACCGCTCTTCAAATCTTTATTCATCATACCACTGATCGATATGTAGTCACGTGCAAAACTACCAGTGCGACTTCTTCTTATCTGTCTTTATCTGCCCGTGTCCTCTACCACCCGAGGATTTTCGCCTAATTAGCTATTTGCGTGTGTCTGTGTGTACTTCTTTTTCACTTGATTGGAAAATCGGCCAACCTCACTTCTAAAATATCATAATGATAATAAAATAAAAGGTTTTAGTTCTGTATTATTTATTGAGGACAGAAACGTACAGTCGCTCCCCTTGAATTGATGAACTTTGGGACACGCATATACACAAACCATCAGGCTGCTCCATAGTGCAGTGATGAACTGTTTCGAATCTGTCAGTACACATTATTTCATTCACTCTCTCTCTCTGTTTGTGCACAGGATGGACTGGACTAGGTGTGCACTTAACTACGTGAACAAGAACCGCGCGACTGAATCCGGATATTAAGATATTACTCGTGCACAATGACGGGTTTGAATGCTTCCGGTATGATGAAATGCTGTACACAAAATGAGGCCTGTCTGGAGTGTAGTCCCGTTTATTAATTCTTGTTGAAGTCGCAGGTTCATAAACAATGTTTTTGACTAATTTCTGATTGGTATCGATTGATTCGTGGTCGATTTTTCTTTATTTCTGAAAGACACCTATGCCCAAATCACCCATGCATCTAACACAGACAGTGAGTCAAGTGTCATTCTCTCGATTTTAATCTAACATCATTTTTAATACGCACTATCTCGTATTCACTTCACTCCGCAATGTTGACTGATTACCGTTATTCCGGTTGCTAACTTGAAATCTAGTAGATCATAAATAAACCAAGTTGTTAGCACGATTCTCTAATTTCCTGTTCCTCGATTCGCCTATTATGGCCCGAAATCCTTTCACACACTGTCTATCAAACTTTCACATGGGTTTTCATTGAACAACATTTCACTTTTCAACCTATCCATTGGTGTCGCCATTTCATGCCTTACTTCTCCCGTAAAGGTCATTCATTGCATTTTTCATTGATGTTGTCCAACCGAACATTATTATACGTAGGTTTCAGTGGACCAGCTTTTCATTTACTAAGCTTTTCCACCGTTGCTCTAGGTGGACAGATAAAACTCATCTGAGTGCCAACACCTCATGCGCTTACCGTTTCCCGCACACCTGAGCATCACCTTTTTGAACAGCTTAACGATTTGGTTGTTGACGAGCAATAGTTTGCTCAATGTCGGAAAGCAATTAGGCACATCCACTTACTTTCAGCACAAGCGATTGTTATAAACTATCTCTAACTGCCAGCAACAGCTGAGCGGTTTTCAGTTGAACTGAAGCAAAGTTGTACACGAATACAACTAAACTTATATTGAATATTATACGGACCCCAGCGTCGGGCTCATTAAATTAAATGTTGATCCAAAATGTTAGTAGTCCACGGTGTGGCTCAGTAATCCCAGGGTCCCGACGGGGGCGAAAAGCACGCATTGATAATGAATCTCTCCACCAGGGGGTAGTATTGACGATTTTGGTTTTAGCTAGACAAACGGAAACTATACCTAATTGTTTATACCGATCATCTAATCACATCCTCAGTTTCATTGTTTCATTTATACTTATGATTTTAGTCCTCAGTAGGGATAATTTCCAGGAACTTTATCTACGTATACCGCTGGTGAAATTATTCGAAAGACTGGGTCCTCCGACAAGTGTACTCTCAGTTGTATTATTTTGGACAGTAGCTCTCAAAACGTTATGGCGAGCTTTTGCGTCTATGCTGTATCTCCCTGTATTTCCCATTCTTCAAAGCATTAGAAAGTTTCCTTTCATGTTCATCCTAGACAACCAACAATTAGTTCATTTTTATTGAGATTTATATGTAGTGTGTGCGTTTTCTCTTATTGGGGAACTTCCAGTCGTGAATTGGTCAAGTTGCCGCCCAAATCCTGAACTATCACCCAAATTGGAAGTCACTGATGGGCAGGCTAAATAGCAACCAGAGAGATGAAAATGCCGAAAAAGTTCATCATCCGAGCTACAGGTGATAACGCACCGCAAAGTATCACTCATAAGAGGATATATGATCAGCCCTGTTTGGATTGAGAACGGAAAACAGACGGGCAAAAAGGAAAATCTCTTCTCATACTTAGGAGAACACCAGTTTATCGAATTTCAGGGGATTTTAAATAAAGGTCCACTGTCGTTTCTAATTGTGATTCACTGGCATCAGCTTCATTTTGTAAGTTTGTTTTTTCGGCTTCATGAATTGCACCGAGTCCAAGTTACTTACCGCGTTGACGACCCACTTGCCCTTGTCTGTTCTGTTCTGGCAAGTTACGTTGTCCGCTAGGCCAAGTTCGACCTTGCTCTGCTGACGGATCCAACCGTCCTCGAGTCATCTCAACCTGTGCCTCGGTTGTGCCAAATCGGGGACCAATCGGAGCGGGCTGGCCGATTGCGGGACGGGAAGGCATTCCCAGTGGGGGGTTGTCTGGCCATTGTGGATTGGCAAACGGGGCACCGCGGACATTTTGTAGGGATACCGGCCCGCGTCTGATATCGTCCTCAACTGGATGAGATTCGATGTAACGTGATCTGCTCGGTCGAGACGGTCCATAAGGCCCACCTTCTGTTGCAAGAAGCCTAGGGTCATCATTGGAATGACCACTGTCCCGTGTAATATCTATCATTCAGAAAAGTGAGAATCAATAAAATTTATCATGAAATCGTTCACCAAAAGTAAATAAAAATCAACAGTGACCAAAAATTTGCATTATTAAGGTAATAACGGAAGCAATAAAATAAACACGGAAAGCTCAGTGTAATAAAATTGAAGAAATATTCATTTTCCATGCAAAAGGTTTCCGATTTTGAGAATGGGGGACGAGAAATGTGTCAGTTTTTCAACTCATCAATGAGTGTGTAGAAAACGGTTTTTATCAGTAACTACCAAATATAAAACGAAATGCACTCTCATTTTAATACCGAGTGAAAAATTTATATAAAAACCTCACCAAGACTTAGACACATTTCTTTAGACCAATCGAAAAGAGGAGAAAAGATTGGTCCGTGAAAAATTCTGTACGAATGTATTAAGATGTGGAAACTTTAAGATGAGTGGAAAGCTTTGGCCAAAAAATAAAAAAAATAATAAAACTATCATTTTTTCATTACACACTCGGTAGCCACGAGGACCTGCTGTTCAGTGATGAAAAACCGGCAACCTAAGCCTGGAGACTTGGAGTAGTGAACCACAGAAGGCCCTGTTAAGATAGGCGTGATATCGAACCGGACGACAGCTGGAGGGGCTCGAACTTCGGACCATACGGTCCAAATCACACCGGTGATAGCGACTAAACCACTGCACCACCACCAACCACGAACAGCAAAACACTTTCCGGTATTCATTCAGATCCCAAAGAAGTCTGCAGCAGTTCAAGGGACTAATGTGTGAAATCAATTAACCAAACTAATTGATTATCAAATGGTAACCTCGGGAACATAAGGCCAAATGATTTCCTTTGATAAGCACAAAGAAAACCGAATGATATTTCTAAAAGGTTTGTACAGTACGCACTGTTCAACATGTGTTTCAAGGGAACCATTTTCTATTTTAGACACAAAACCATCAGCACACGAGGGTAGCAGGAGCCATATTGCTACGCAATCCTTCTAGTGATAAACTTCCTCACTAAACTTGAATTTCATATTTTGAGTGCAGAAGAATGATAGTTTTAGGCTATCTGTCAGTAGGCCTACATCAATCCCGTTGCTTTTCTACTGTAGGCCTGCCGACAGATGACCAAAAACAATTACTGATCTTCTGCACTCACAATGTGCAATTCTAGTTCAATGGGGAAGTCTGTTACCAGAAGGATCGTGCAGCAATAGGGTCCCCGCCAAAGCAGGACTTACTGCAAATGCAAACGTTAGTGATTAGGACTGTGAAACGCCTAGAAAAACGAAAGGGATAATGAAATTAACAAAAAACTGAGATCAGGAGTTGATTTTAGACCCCCGAGGCTTAGAAAGACATTACCATCTTATTTGTGGTTGCTCAGAAACTGAGTCCGCAATTTCCACTTTTCGAAGGCACAATAACCGATTTATTTGTTTTTTTCTCGGTAATATCGCTCACTCACTCGTATTGGTATCCAGCTGTTGCACAGCTCTAGCGATTCGGTGTATTGGCTACCCATTAAACGCTAGAACGAAATTAACAGTTTCACTTCACGTCCAGTGTCATCTGTTCTTACACCTAAACCAATGTTTGATCAACTTAGGCGTAAGAAGACTGCAAGAACCGTAAAATACTGCGTTGTGGTTCAGCTATGATAATCGAAAGATGTTCTGATCTCCTAAAACTTAGTAACTTATCAAACATTTTCACAATTTCTGATTGGTGGTAGCCTCGCTAATCATTATCCTAAGAACGACCACGGTGGTGTTCCCGTGGTGGACCTGAATCGAGAAATGTGAAAATGGCAATAAGATTGTTCGAAGACAGTTTTCACTTACTAATTGTGAATGTCAAACGTTAACCTAAATTCACCCGGCTTACTTTGTGTAAATGAGGTGTTTAAGTAATACTATATGATTTCAGCGGTAAAGATGATCGAATTCAGAGCCCATACTCAGAAAAGTGCATTTTGGAAACATTCTAATTTTTAAACTTGTATTTTCTTATAAAATTCCGTAACTGCTATGAAACTTTTGGCATTTTTCGACATCCCTCGTTACGTTATTTCTATTGCAGTTGAGTTGATAGAGATATCTCATTCCGTTCCAAAAATATGGCCAAAATGGTCATTTTGTTTGTTTAGTGCTTGAATGTGCTTCTGTGGTGGTGTCACAGAGATAGATTAGGACCTGAAAGTGTCGAACAAACTGGATGTGAATCTGGTCAATACTGATATGTATGCCGATTGAGCATGATACATTGGTGTCCCAATGCAGCCGCTTGAGGTGTAGCTTATGAATTCTATTGCAGCATCATGTGATTGCGGAAGCAATGGCTCAAGCGTTGACCGCGCATGATTTACTGGTATCAGAGGTTGTGGATACACACACAGAGGCATGCGCGTACTAGCAAGATAAACAACCGATGTGTGCCATGAGAATTGAGGCGTGTGACCGAAGCCCGTCTCGTAATCGTCTTCCGCACTTCAACAGGAGGTAGGGAAATCGGTGTTGCATGGTAGTCATCCGGACACCGCTGGGAGGCTTGTCAGCACCGGTGAGGTCAATGCGACAGCTTGAAATAATGCGAAGACATCTTGATATGATATTGGGACAACTTGACTTGCAAAAGGTATAGTAAAACGAGTAGGCAAAATCGTTCCACACATCGANCACATCGATAACAATATCCATTTACCACTTTCACTCATTGACTTCTAGCCATATGTATAATCCTCGGGTTCAAACGATTCACATCTCGTTTGTGATAATAGTATGCAAAACAAATTGTATGGATGTGGGTCGGAAATAGTTCTATAGGCTTGGAAACCCCAAGTATGCCTCGTATCACTCGGTGTTATGCATATAAACGCACACTATTCCTGGGACAGTTAATAAAAAAAGGCCTGCTAGATTTGCACTCTGTTGTCAGTGTAAGTGCTACCAGCCGACACCTCATAACCCCTCTTCTTTTTATCGCATCGATCCACACTCGCGTCAGTAACGTAGATATTGCAGAAACATGCACCCTAAAAATCCAGTATGAACACTAAGCAGGTAATTCAGCTCCCAGTACTACAACTAATGCAGGAATGCAAAAATAAGAATTACTTTCAAGTTCTTGTTTAAGTACTGAAGATATTTGTTTCGTGTTCTGCGTTAAGCTTCAAATAGCTGCATTCACTCGCATTCTCGTGCCTGAAAAGTTGCTAAAAACTGTACAACGGTGAGTTGAAGGTGAACTTCTGTTCTAGTTAATAATGGTTTCGAACGTCAGAAACATACTCATCTTATTCGTTCAAGTCAATGGCTAGTTCTACTCCTAAAACGCTTGATTATTTGAGAGTATAGCTCCAGATTGAAGAGCCTCCCCAAAATGAGAGCCACAGAACTCAGTCATTTGCGTTTTTTTAGTTGGTTCTATCACAACCCTTATACGGAAAACCAATCGTAAAAAATCAACTGGCTTGCATCGCGCTAAGCAAGTGACCCAATTCCGAAAGCACGAGAGAATGGCTGAGAAGTGCAACTCATGGAAACCAACCAGAACACTGGATGATCAGTGTCAAAGTGAGGCCTGTTTTCAGTCTTGTTGAGACAGGCTGTTGTACCGGAAGAATCCATGCAGCTTTCAAACACCAGTATGATATGAATGTTTAAGTACCGGTTTTCTCAGTCTGTCGATAAATTCCACCTCTTTGTGCTTAAAACAACTGCAGATTCAATAATCACCTAGTTTATTTGAAAAAGCAACAGTATTTTCAAGCATTCATACCTTTAGTGTTTCTCTTTTATGCTTGACTGACAATTTCAAACAAAAGTTACGGGTTGTCCTGATGAACGGATTAGTTCTGTCCGAGAAGAAGAAAAAGAACGCTGACGGAACAACATATACCGGAAGCCACAAAATAACAACAACCTAACAACACAGTGGGCTCTATGGTGCACTCAGGTAATACATGCTCACGCTTGCGCGCGCGCGAGCACGCCTACACACACAGAAACACACACACAGAACCATCTAACGGAAGTGCTGAGTATGCGGGGCGGTCTCGATCACTGGCGTTGTCGACGGTAATCACAGAAAGACCACACACCAAATTGTCTACGGAGGTAACACATTATGACTGGCTATGAAGAGTTTGACGAGGAGAAAACGTGTCTCGCTGTGCTGAGTTTTTGTCCAATTTATGCACAAAATTATTCTACTTTTCTGATAAAGGCGCATCGGAGCAGATATTGCACGGTCTAGTGTTCACGAATAATAATCAGGAGTGTTGGTGCTATTTCTCGTTTGTGTTACTATTTTTGCTTTGAGTGAATCAAATTACCTCATATTTAAGTCAAAGTTACTTGCAAGTAGTGATAGTGGGCTGATCATTCTTTTGACTTCACATTCAGGATGCACTAACTCTGAGTATCGCTCTCATTGGAGCTGCACTGTAGTGTATGTTCTTCGTCTTGTTCGGGACTTGCTACATTCTACTTTTTGTTTCCAATTCGGGACTCGGACCGCAAACCTTTGTGTTAGGAACTGAATCCCTTATCCCTAGGCTACACGGTCGACAACCTATACTTTGATCAATACACAGACACTGGTGTTTGTGAATTTCGAAGAACTACGAAACTGGAACGTCCAGTGGATAGTATTAATCTGAGGCATTGGAGCCACTCATGCTTCGGAATAATGGGACTTTTCTCCTACTTGAACTGATTTCCATTGACTTTAACCCACTCTAATGATTTGCTTTCTTCTTTTATCTTCAATTCGCTCTCTATGAAAGGTCTTTGTTCTAAAATTTATTTATGCTCATGCACAACCTGTCTATGGTTCGCCTGACTGATTGCTTTGTCGGCGTAGGTGACCTCGGCTCACGGACTAGTTCACCATTACACACGCACACATGATGCATTGACGACCGCATTTAGTTCTCTATTTGATGCCCTCACTTTATTGTTGACCTCGTACTTCATTAGTGTGAAGTGCATTCGTTGTGACAATTGCGATTGT